CTGAAGATGTGGGTTCTGATGAGAATGGCCACGGTAACGATAATGGTGGCGATTTCAATCATAACAATGAAGATGTTTCTGACTCCTTCTCCTCAATCCGGCGGCCGCTTTTGAGACTGCTTGAGAGCCCCGAACTTGTCCGAGAGAGCCCCAAGAGGAGCCCCAGAGGCCACCAAGACGGGCTCGAGAGCCGTCAAGAGCTTCCCAAAACGGCCCAAGCGATCTCGAAGAGCCCACCCTTATGGCTTCCGAAGGCGTCAGATGGACCAAGAGCGCCCTAACACTGCTTGCACAGCCCATTGGAGGCCCCATGGCAGCCCCAAGAGGCCCCCATCAGGCCTCCAAGATGCCCCCAAGAGGCTTCAAAGAGTCCAGCCAGACGTCTCAGTCATTCAACATCCAATCGGGAACTACAGGTTCTGATGAGCTCGCCTTTTCGCTCTCGATGGGCCTGCCTCCCAGGCCTCCAGATGCCCTCCAGACGGCCCAAGGGGCTCCCGAAACGACAGATGAGGTCCCCGAGAGAACCTTCGAGCAAATTCCAGGAGCCCGCCCCCCCCCCAAACGCCTCCGAGAGGCTCCCCGAGTCGCGCAGTCGGCCCGATGTTCCTGGACGTCTCCCCAGGAGCATCGGGCCGACGACGACGATGACGATGCTGATGCTCATTATGGTGATGCTGGTGTTATGGATGATGATGACTATGATGCGGCTGATGGTGATGATGATGATGATGATGATGATGATGATGATGATGATGATGATGATGATGATGATGATGATGATGATGATGATGATGATGATGATGATGATGCTGATGCTGATGATGATGATGATGATGATGGTGATGATGATGCTGCTGCTGATGCTGATGCTGAAGCTGATGCTGATGCTGATGATGCTGATGATGCTGATGATGATGCTGCTGCTGCTGGTGATGCTGGTGGGCAAGACGATGACAGTGACTACGTACGTGCACGATTAGCGTAGTGTTGTTGATGATGATTGCGATGGACGTTGGGATGGATATGATGGTTCGGATGATAGTGCTGCTGCTGATGCGACTGCGGATCCTGATGCTGATGCTGATGATGAGAACACAATGATGACAATAATACGGATGGCGATGGCGAGGATGATGATGATGGCGATGGTGATGGTGCTTGTGATGGTGATGATAATGATGATTATGATGGCGCTGGTGATGATGCTGATGATGACGGTGCTCATGATGATGAGGAGGATGGTTGTGGTGATGATTATTATGTTGATGATTGGGGTGATTAGTTGGATTTCGATGAGGGTGAAAATGAGGATGCTGATGGTAATCGTGCTGGTAGACAAGCTTGATGTGTCGGCATGGCTAGTAGCAATGGGCCAAGCATGCTCTTCATGATGGTGCTGTTGTTGATGCTGGTGACGATGAGTAAGATCATGCGGGGTACAGGCATGGACTGAGGATGATTGTGAGGGTGGGTGCGACTTTGCCACGCGCTTGTGCATGATAGCGCTGCATAAGCTCTTCCAGCGTTCCTCAGGCCTGCGCTAGAACTTGAGCGCGCGCGAAGCGCGCTTGATGTTTCAAGTGTATATGTGTGTATGTACGTATGTGTGTACACGCACATTTGTATATTTATATGTATAGATCACTGTATATATTTATGTATGTGTACAACGCTCTATGCTTATAGGTGTATGTGATATATATATATATATATGCGTGTGTGTAGAGAGAGTGCGTATATACATACATAGTGTTGCAACACATGGGTTGCACCACGCACAGGTTGCACCACGCAGGTTGATCATCGAGAGGCCAGGGCCTTCTTTTGGTGATCCACGCTGGCAGCCATCACCTGCGCCTTCAGTTCAATGAATGGTCCTTGTCTCTTGAAGGCATGTTGTTAGCGTTGTGGAGCTTGTTTCGGGCCTGTTGAGGGCCTCTTAGGCACGATGATAACGAACTCTCCCGAAGAAAGGCTGGTTTGAACCATTTTTGGGGCGGCTGGGCGGTAGTATTGGGGCCGTCTTGGAGCCCTCTTGGGTCTGTCGTCTTGGGGGGGTGCTCGAGCAGTATCGGGGCCAGCTCCGAGCCCTCTTGGGGTCGTCTTGGGACGTTTCGGTGGTTCCACGACGCTTTCTCGAGGTGTTCTGCAGCCGAAGCCCATCGGAAGACACACACACACACACACGGGTCCTTATTGGATGTTTGTTGTTTGTTCCAGGTCTCGCTGGAGGCATCTTTTAGACTTCTCGGGGTTGGGAGTGCCCAGGGCCTCTTTTGGTCATATTGAAGCCTTTAGGGTACCACCATGCCGTACTGGGCTGGCCCTCGGTTTTTTCAGAAGCCTCTTGGAGTGATCTTGTGCCGCCTTGGAGCTGTGAAGACTCCGAGATGAGCGCCAGGAGTCAAGCCAAGGGGGCGATGTCTTAAGGGTGCGCGATTCGAGGGGGCCAGCTTGAGACAAAACGCAGAAACCTGACCAGAGAATTCTATTAGACAACTGACAGAGACTCGAACGCGCCCAGTGTGCACGTCTAGGAATATCGGAACGAATCTCCATGAAGAGGGCCTCATCACCGATTTCTCAGTCAACTTCGGATTGTGCTTGCGACGCGACGTCGCTGTTAAGCTTCCTCGGCCAGATTTGGCGATGGGCCTTGCTGTGAGGACATCAGCCCGCAAGCTCATGGTAATGGACTTGATGTCCAAGAGCTTCTCATCGGCGCGCGTCATCGCATGGCTCGGATTCTGGGGCACGGTCCCCTGCTCCATCGTGTCAGACAGCGACAGCTGGCATTCCTTCTAGCCGTGGGTGTGAACATAGCCGCGTTGCGCGCTTCGTGGTCTGGGCTGAAGAGCTGTCCTTTTCCAGGGGGGCGCGCATGGGCGCGAAGCCAGTCGACCACTGTTGGACAGCTGGCATGTCCTCTGGTCGCAGATGCCCCTCCCGTCTTCGAGCGCGCACCCCTGCACTGTTTGTGGCGGCGTGTCCGCTGGAGCTCTCATCGCCGGCCGCTGGCAGCCACGGGGCCTCTCGTCCTGGCACTGCCTGGAGGAGCCTCGACCCGCCTCCGCGGGTCGAGCCCGCTGCCGCGCGCGCCGAGGCGCCGCGCGCAGGGCGTGCCCGAGCCCCTCGCGGGCAGCAGCTCCGGGCCGGGGAGCGCGGCGCGGTGCTTCCGTGAGCGAGACCGCGCAGGGAGGGCGAGGCGGCATTCGGCCTCCACGGGGTTTCGGGGAGCAGGCCCTGACGTAAGCATATCAACTCGGAGGTCCACGCGGATTCCTCGGATCGGCGCTGGGGCCCCCTGGCGGCGCGCGCGCCGGGGAGGGGGGTCCAGCGCCGATCGGAGAAATCCGAGTTGACCTCCGAGTTGTTGTGTTCATGCCATTGCTGGTTTCCCTGAAGCAGGGCGGGTCTGCATTCGGACGCTGCCGTCGGATGGCTCTGTGCGTCAAGCGAGCTCCACTGAGGTGGGCATCGTCGCACAGCGCTCCTTCGTTCTCACCTCGGTGCGCGCAGCGCCGGGGCCCTCTCCGTAGCTCGGCCGCCTCTTCTCGGGGCCGCCCCGCAGCCATGCTGGCTCAAGGGTTGGCTCGAGCATCTGCTGGCCGTCGGTGACCCTGCCGGCAGAGGCAGCGGGCGCGATGGGCTGACCGGGCAGCCGTGTGGCCGCGGCTGCCTTCTGCGTCCCAGCCAGCGCCCCCCGGACAGTCCAGCAGCCAGCAGCTTGGGCCAGATGAAGGATTCGAAGCAGAAGAAGCTGAGCAAGAAGGAGAAGAAGCTTGCGAAGAAGCTTAAAAAGAAGGAGAAGAAGGTGGAGAAGAAGTTGCGGAAGCTCGACGCGAGCAAGAAGGCGAAGAAGCGCAAGCGCAGCAGCTCGTCCTCGTCCTCTCCGTCGTCTTCTTCCTCGGGTCCGCCCGCCGCGGCGCCAGCGCCCGCACGCGGAGCAGACGCGGGCGCTGAGGCGCGCGCGCCGGCGGTTGTGGAGCCCAGCCGCGAGAGCGTAGGGCTGCGGCTGCTGGGAGACGTGTACGCGGTCGGCAAGCCGAGCAGCGAGCTGCGCTGGGAGTACCCGCTGCGCGACGAGGTGCGGCGCTGCTTCGCGGGCGTTCTGCGGCCGCGGCTGCCGCAGGGCACGCTGCGGCGCCTGGAGGAGCTGGCGCGCGAGGGCGCCGCGTGGCACCAGCCGAAGAGGCCGAGGACGGGGGAGCTGCTGCCGCGGAAGACGGACTGGATGACCGCGGAGGGGTGCCGGTGCGCGTACAGGTACGGCGGCGTGGAGGTGGGCCCCACGGAGTTCCCGGGCTGGATGGCGGAGGTCATGGAGACGGTGATGCCGCTCTGCGGCATCAGAGGCCAGGGCCGGTGGCCGAACTGCTGCAACCTCAACCTGTACGAGGACGGCGGCATGTCCGTGGGCTGGCACGCCGACGACGAGGATCAGGAGGGGAAAAAACACGCAGACACAGTGAATCGTCGATCCCGAGGAAACAATGGGAAACAAGTGTGATAAAGTGGGGGAAAGACGACACTCAAGAAAGTATGAGAAAATGAGGGGAATCCTTGGATGTGTGTCTATTTTTTGGTATGTCCCTGGGCCCCTTCAGAGGAGCTGTTCCAGGGCAAGGTGGGCGACTGCCCCATCATCTCCTTCTCGCTGGGGCACACGCGGACGTTTGAGCTGCAGGTGCTGGGCGCGCAGGGCGACGGCGAGCAGCCCCTGAGGATCCCCCTGCACAGCGGAGACGTTCTCACCATGGAGGGGCTGGTTCAGAAGCACTACCAGCACAGGTCGACTGCACTCGAGAAGAAAAAGGAGACGCCATGAACATGAACTCTTGGCGCTCCGCGCGGATTTCTTGGATCCGCGCTGGGCCCCCCTGGAGCGCGCTCCGCGCGCCGGGGAGGGGGGTCCGGCGCAGGTCCCAGAATTCCGCGCGGAGCGCCAAAAGCTTATGTTTATGGCGTTTTTCTTTTTCTAGCATTAGAGTCGGAGGTTGATAGACCTCCTACCCTGACACGTCGATTAGGAATTGGCCGTTTTCGGTTCGCGGGGGGGCGTCGCGGCCGTCATTTCTGCGGGTCGATGTCCGTCGGTTTCGGTCCTTGGCCGTTTTCGCTAAGGGGAGGTTTGCTAAAGGGAGGTTTGTCCACCGCCGATAGAGTGACCCTTCGCCAGAGCGACCTTTGGTGCGGGCCCACTGGGGTCCCCCAGTCGCCGAGCGCGAGGCGGCAGTGGCGTCTTGCGCGCTCGTGCTTGGTGCCCTGGCGGCCCCCAAAGAGCCGCGCACCAAAGGCCACACACTGTTGCCCAGGATCACTCTTGCGTGTAGTCGAACAGGGTGCCGAGGGAGAAGGCCCAGGGGGCGAGGATCAACTTCACCTGGCGGTGGATCAGGCAGCACCAGGCGAGGTGCCCCCTCGGCCGAAAGTAGCGAGGCCAGGGGCACGCTGCTGCTCTTGTTGCGGACAGCCGCGCACGCACCAGCACCATTGAATGCCTCGGGGGCAAAACTGGCGCTCAGTGCAGCAACCAGGTAGGGCTTTGGGCGGTTGCGCATGCGCTGCTGCTCGCTGCCAGAAGCCCCGGACCGGTTGCGTGCGAACCAGGCTGTCAAGGCTGGTAGGCAGTCTCGGCCGATCATGCGCTCGTTCTTTGACGGTGGCTCCGGCAGGCAGGCGTGCGAGACGAAGCAGCATTGGCATGCGCCGCGACGAGGCCAGACGGCGGTTGTGGGCTGGGCTGCCTGGCAGCCCGGGTCTGGCGTGCGAGCTGCCACCCACTGGCAACAGGACGTGTTCTTGCTGGCCCGCGCCGTCTCTGGGGCAGGCCGCGGCGGCCAGACTGCCGCAGCTCGCCCCGCCACGCCGATCGGGAGCTCTCCCAGGAGCTGCGGACAGGGATGGAGAGGGACCCAACGCGGCTGCCAGATAAAAAGCTCTCGCCCGCGGCGTGCGACGTCACCCCCAGGTCATGGTCCCAGGGCAGCCAGGCTCTGGATGTCTGGGGCCTCGGTTGTTCGCGCTCTCGAAGCCTGGACATGTCCTGGTGCTCCCGCAGCGGGCCGACCCGCAGTTTTGCCCGATGGGGTGGCCGCGTCGCGGCTCGGGGGCGACGCAGAGAACAAG